GTTCTTGTGCAAAGCAGCCAGCACATAGGTTGGTCTGTTATCATCACTGAATCTATCCCTGACAGCTCAACTACTTCTCACCACAACCTACACCTATTTGTTTGTTTATTTATTTATTTATCTTAAAAAAATTTTTTTTTTGAGACAGGGTTTCCATGTAGTTGGTACCTGTCCTGGATTTTGCTCTGTAGACCAGGCTGGCCTCGAACTCACAGAGATCCACCTGCCTCTGCCTCCTGAGTGCTGGGATTAAAGGCATGCGCCACCACCGCCCAGCGTTTATTTATTTACTGTGGAGTTCAGCTGGCCTCACATTAGCAATCTTTCAGCCTCACTTCCAGAATGTTACAATTAGAGGCATTTGCTAGTGTGCCTAGCTAACCTGTACCTGTTTCTGAGAGTGCTTGAAAGTCCCCATCTTATATTAAACATGAGGAGACGGGAAGCTACTTATTTAACCTATTTCCATCACCCAGGACAGAGTTCTGCAACCAGACAGAAGGACAATGGTCCTGCTCTTTCTGAGTAATGCCTGGTACAGCAAGCGGAGCCCAGGGCTTCATCTCCTTTTCTGGATACCCTCTCTGCCTTTCAGGTCAGAACAAGGGCAGCCAGGTCTCTAGCAGAAGAGCATGCAAGGCAGAGACTCCACTCCACAAATAAGGAATGGGTGGAAGAGGGTGCTCCCACCCTTCAGCTGCCCCACAGCACTCCGCCTCCAGGAGCAGGGCAGGAGTAAAGTTCTAAAGTAAAGTCTAAAGTATGCTCCTCCTAACAGCACTCAGAGCTGGGTTCCTGCTGAGAAGTTTAGAATGAGCTTCCATCTCACTGAGCTGCAACTGATAGGGAGAGTGCTCGTCTTAGTTAAAGTGCTCTACACTCGAACATTTTCTTAACAAAATGTAGCTTAACTTGAATAGGTATTTCTAAATTTCCTATAAAACCCCAGACTCATTTCCAGAGACTTTAAATGTGGTTCTTCATTTTTTTATTTTTGATCAGTTTCAGTGAGCATTGGATCTATGGGTTCTTTATGCTGCTATAACAGATACTAAGTTTATTCACTCTTATGGATTAGAATTCCCTGGTGTGAACACACCCTGCTTTATCCATTCTCTCACCAGTGGACGTGTGGGCAGTTTCTAGCTTTTCTGCTAACCTAACATTGCTGCTATAAACACTGTTTTACATGTATCCTATGACACACCAGCAAGTGTTCCTATTGGGTATGGAGTATATATATCTAGGAATGTGAATGTTGGTAAAAAAAATTCTGTAATATTTAATTTTGCAAGGCAGGTACAAGTTGTTTTCCAAAGCAGCTGGAGTTGTCCATTTCCAACTAAGAGTGTGTAAAAGTCCTTGGAGTTGTCCACCTCTGATCTACAGCCTCCTCAATCTTTGTTGTGAGACTTGCCAATATAACAGGTGTAAAATTTTATCCCACCACAATTACAAACGAGGGAAGAATTTATGTTCATTTTCTTGTTTTCTCTTCTGTGAATATCTATTTCTTCCAGTTTTTAATAGCTGTCCAGAGGAGGGAGGGGTCAAGAAAAAGATCAAGAGAGGAGAGGACTCTTCCCTCCTAAGTCTTCTTGTGGCAGTTCTAGGGATGGAAGCCAGGGCCTCACACAGCCTAGGCAAGCACCCTCAGCCCTCAGGAGGGCTCTTCGGTCGGATCGAATGAGTCGATTAAAGAGTCTGTTTTATTAAATTGACATGTATGTGGAGAGCCTCACAAGAAAGGAGAGCCTGAAGAAACAACCAAAGCAAGATGCTTTGATATTTAGACAACAATCAATTTAGGAAGGACAGACAGGACAAATGGATCTCTTGACTAAAGGTAAATCCTAGGGATGTCATTAAGAGATGGGGGAGGGTAGAAGCTAATGGAAGCTAAGGTTACTTCAAAGAACTTGTTAATTGGGGTTGTGATGAATTACTGCAGTCACCAGTCTGGTGATCAAGGCTGTTTTTCTGGCTTTGCTCTGTGAAAGATGTCCCTCTCAAGAGAATCTTTATGACTTGCTGCATGTAGGAAAGATGTCTCTCTCAAGAGAATCTTTATATGGCTTGCTGCATGTAGGAAAGGACAGGCCAAATGGCCCTTTCTGTAGTGACAGTTTCTCTAGTGATGTCAAGCTGAAGTAATTACCATGTCACTTGGCATATCCTGAGATGACCCGATCTTCACTCTTCCATGGCATATCCTTTTTTAAAATTGTAGTTTCATATGTAAATATTAACCCTTGTCTATTCTGTGTATTATAAATAAATTCTGCCAGTTTGGAGCTTGTTTTAATTTCTTTAAGGCAACTTTTGATGAATAAAATTCTATTTTAATATGGCTGAATCTTGTTCTTTTGGTTAGTACTCTGTCTTATTTAAGAAATGTTTCTCTATCTCAGGGAGACACACACACACTGCCAAAAGGAGAAATGATGTACACGTGAACCACTGGAGACTCAAATACACATATTAGTAACTGACAGATGGCCAAGCAGGGGGCAGCTGAGCAGAATGGCACCCTCAGCGAAATCTATCAACTCTCATAAGACACTCATTTTTTTTAAAGATTTATTTATTTATTATGTATACAATGTTCTGTCTGCATGTATCCCTACCCAGCAGAAGAGGGCACCAGATCTCATTATAGATGGTTGTGAGCCACCATGTGGTTGCTGGGAATTGAACTCAGGACCTCTGGAAGAGCAGTCAGTGTTCTTAACCTCTGGCTGGAAAAATACTCATCTTTTGTGAGAGCAAACTGTTTGGCTGTAACAGTCTAGAGACGACTTTGTTTTGTTGGTTCTCTTCTTCTACCACACGTGGCTTTAAGGATTGAAGAAGTGAGTGCTCCTATCTTCCAAGCCATGTTACCTGTTCCTCTCCAGGAGTTTTTAATCTCTCAAGTTGGTCTTATTCTGTTGTTGGTTGGTTGTTTTCTTTTTTGGGGGCCTGCTAACCAGCTTCCAAATAAATCACACAGGAAGGCTTAATTATGAACGCCCAGCCTTAGCTTGGCTTGTTTCTAGCCAGCTTTTCTTATCTTAAATTATCCCATCTACTTTTTGCCTCTGGGCTTTTCCCATTCTCTTACTTCTGTAAATCTTACTCTTACTCCATGGCTTGCTGTGTAGCTGGGTGGCTGGCCCCTGGAGTCTTCCTCCTTCTCAGGCTTGTTCCTTCTTTTTTCTTCCTCCCAGATTTCTCCTTCTATTTATTCTCTCTGCCTGCCAGCCCTGTCTGTCCTTTCTCCTGCCTTGTTATTGGCCGTTCAGTTCTTTATTAGACATCAGGTGTTTTAGACAGGCACAGTAATACAGCTTTACAGATTTAAACAAATGCAACATAAACAAAAGGAACACACCTTAAATTAATATTCTACAACAATACTCAGATTCTAGCAGCTTATCCTTTAAATACTTCTGACATAAGGTCCTGGGAGATTCTGGGTAGCCTTTGATCTGAGCAAGCCCTAACCAACCCTCTGGATCTACCTGTCTCCAGTTTTTAGGCCAGGGTGCCCTGTGACCTTAATTCTGTTGTGACCCTTGATGGACCTGAGTTGCAGATTTTATATTTTTCACCTTTTTTTCTTTTTCTGCTATGAGGACAGGAGTGATAATGTCCAAGTTCTCTTCATGTCAGAGGTTAAACTACTTTATTATTTATTTATTTGCTTGTTTTTTTGAGACAGGGTCTCAACTATGTAGTCCTAGGTGTTCTGGAACTCACTCTGTAGACCATGCCAGACTTGAATTCACAGCGATTCGCCTGCCTCTGCCTCCTGAGTACTGGGATTAAAGGCATGCACCACCACATCTGGCCCAAACTTCTTTTTAAATCCTTGTTTAGTATCTTACTGTATCAATGTAGGTCTAAATTTTTAAAGTTTTGACATATACTGCTAAATTTCCTTCCACGGGGCTTTATTAAAATAATCTAAGCACATTTTTATTACTTTATTTTCTGATTTCCAAATCATCATTGTTCCCTCAAGATGAAGTCCACACAGCCTGCCAAGCATGCATTCCTTGGGTGGGTGAGCCGTCACTGCGATCTTTTGTACAATATAGCCCTACTTGTTCTTCAATGTGATCACCGGGAACTGCCTCGCCCTCTTCGTCTACAGTGACTGGTGGGCTTCCTGACCCCAGGATGCCGGATCGTGTTCACTTTGCTTTGGCCTGCTCCGCCTTTCCCGGGCACTCCGTCCTGCTGCCTGCCTCCTCACCTTGTCCTCAGACTTCTGCTGTCCACGAGCTTACTCAGAGAGACCCAGCATTTTGTTCCGTGTCAGCAGGAGAAGGTCTACAGCACCGTGGTGCACACACAACCTGCTGCAGCGAAACCTAGGGTTTCTGCCATCATGTGGTAATTGCGAGTCTGCTCTTTATAAAGTCCTTGTACTGTTATTTTAATTGTCGCTTATGTGTTTTGCTTCAGGATTTTTCTACTTACAACATAAAAACATAGTAACTCTGAGAAAGGCTCTTCTTAATAGTTAATCTTTTTATAAAAATAAAAATAGCTTATTTTTTCCTCTCAATTTAAAACCTTAATTCCACCAAAAACTAATATCTAGTCAAATTATTAAATAATCTTTTTAGTGGAATCTTAAAAACTCAGTTTTTTTTTTAATTTAGAAAAAACCCATACAAGACATACAAAACAACTAAGATACATATGAAAGTTTTTTCGAGATGGGGTTTCTCTGTGTAGCTTTGCACCTTTCCTGGAATTCACTTGGTAGCCCAGGCTGGTCTCGAACTCATAGAGATTCGCCTGGCTCTGCCTCCCAAGTGCTGGGATTAAAGGCATGCACCACCACTGCCCGTCAATATGAAAGTTTACAACTGTCACATTGTAACAATAAAATGCACAAAACTCCAATGGAGATAATTCAAATGCAAAAAAGCTGTCATCAATTTTGAAAACAGGTTTTTCAATGCTCATGTTTAAGCTTTTTTAAAAAAAACAAAAAAACTACTCACGTTCTACTTGCTCAAACATTACTGAGAAGAGGAAGTCTCGGGGTGTCATGTAATATTCTCCTTCATGCTCCAGGGATGAAAACTGCATGAACCGCTGTTTACGTAGAGAAAGTTTCTCTATTGGTCCCAAGTCATTTTTCTAAAAGAAAAATAAATAATAATTAAAAAATGTTTTCAGTATGATTGCCAAACTCAGCTACCCCTAGAATTACATTTAAAGAGTAAGTTCGGTCTCACAGTCCCCAAAGTTTACACTAGTCATACAACAAATATCAACTAAGTCCCTTGGTTTTAGGCACTGAAGGTAAAATACCAACTGAGACTAATTGGAGGGCAGTTACTTTCAAGTGGGAGAATGGCATCGGCAGATGTGAAGTCACCGAGCTGGGACAGCGGTAGCAGGTCTCTTAGGTGAGACAGGCTGTCTTTGAAGGGATGGCACTTACAGAGACTGTGCACACAAGGGTGAGTGAGTCCTGTTCTCCTGAGGAACAATGTCTTCAGGAGGAGCAGAAGGCACTGTCACCACGGTGACAGGAAGAGAGTGGCGGAAGTCACACCAGACAGATATGCTCCCATGAGAGGCTCTGTCCACACAACTATGAATAGCAAAGTGCAGAAGGGATGCACACGGGTCAGACACTGTTGGTGCTGAGTCTCAGGTCTTAGGGCTGGGCCTTCCCAACAGCTGAGGGCAGCACTGAAATATCCCAAGCTTTCTGTTCCACTCAAGGCCTTCAGCCTCTAGTTTCCACATTATCCTCCCACACGTGGATGAGCCTGGTGCTGGACAGACTGACATGTGGTTGACAATACTGGAGCCCATGTGGAGCCTCGATGTGAGACTGCGCTGCTCACCCTGGACTGCTTTCCTACAGCGCCATTTTCACTGGCCTACGCATCCTCCCAGGACACACCTACTTCTCAGACTCAGCACGGATCCCGGAATTTACCCTGACCTACAGGCCATACACAGTGACTGCCAACTCAAACCAAAATGTAAGAACTAGGAATTCTGGCTGCTTAACCCTCCTCACATTCAAGGCCACCAGAGGCCTCTTTTTGCTGATGTGAGTCCCTAACTAGTTCTGTCCCCTGAAGTAGACAACAGGCTTGCTGAGCGTCCAGTTTTGCTCCTTCTGCATTCTATTCAGTGCCTACAGAATACTAACAACATATACGACGCACATCAATGCTAGCGTCTCTATGTACTTTCTGTTCTTTGCCCATACATTGTTACTATAAAACTACCAAAAGGTGAGGTGGGAACTCGGTACCTCGCACAAGCTGGGAAAGTGCTACCCTGACCTATAACCCCAACCCAAGGGCAAGTTTTATTCACAAGCATCATACTCATCCTCGCAACCAGGAAGTGGAATCATAGTAACGCTTTCTGAATGTTATATATGAAGCATGCATACACACACACACACACACACACACACACACACACACACACACACACACAGAGTAAAACATAGCAATATATGTATCATTTTGCTTAACGAAAAGAAAAAGCAATGGTAAGTCAGACAAACACTAATTTCTGAGAAAGTCTCTTGTGCTTTGACAGTGAATTTATAAAATGTATGGCCAGGAAAGGGAGGGTGGGTTGGAGCAAAACCAGGAACCTAACTGCATTTGCAAGCTCTAGGGATCAGAACAGAAAAAGGCCAAACATGAGTATGTGTCGTAACTATATGGAAGAATTTTAAAGGCATAACGTTAACTTATAGTCTATTAAGAAAATAGCAGCCGGGCAGTGGTGACGCACGCCTTTAATCCCAGCACTCTCCAGGCAGAGGCAGGAGGATTTCTGTGAGTTCAAGACCAGCCTGGTCTACAGAGCGAGTTCCAGGAAAGGCTCCAAAGCTACACAGAGAAACCCTGTCTCAAAACAAACAAACAAACAAAAAAACCAAAAACCAAAACCAAACAAAAGCAAAATGAATAATCACAACAGAGAATGCACACCCTCAAACCCTGAAATACTATTGCTGCTTTTCTAATTTCTGTATCAAAGTTGTTAAAATTTCCTGTTTTTGGTATTTCTTTTTGTTTAAATTCTTTTCACACCTCAACCAATTATACAGTCCAATACTGTATTCAACCCTCTGTCTATAGGTCTCCTAACCAGAGGGGTGATTGCCCATGTGTCTGTTCTGGTTTCAGGTCGGCTTCCTTGTAACAATCTTACTTTTCCTGGGCTTAATTGACTTGTAGGAAAGAAACACTTACCGCTCTCTCACAGCAGGCTGTGTGTAAAAGATACCATATTTCTTTTTTCTAGAAGGTTTGCTCCTAAGTTTCTCTACCTTGTGGTTATCTTTTTTATTAAAATATGTATTTAATTAAAAACAATGTGAATATGTGCATATGCCACATGTGTGGGTGTCCACAGAGGTCAGAAGATGGTGTCAGATCCCCTCAAGACATGGGCAACTGCTGAGATGCTTGATGTGGGTGCTGGGAATCAAGTTCCAGTCCTCTCCAAGAGCGTCAAGTGCTCCTAACCATGGTTATCATTTTCCATGTGCCTCTAAGAACCTTTCACTCACAGACTCACATTTCTGAAGAGCCAATCCCTTAGGAAGTAACATTTTATAGAGTTGGATAGTTGACTGGGTTGTTTGCATCCAGTTACATTTTGGCTAAATATACTTTCTAGTGAACAATAAAAGATAGAGGAAATACGGATCCTTTTGACTAGCTAATTGCTGAGCTTGAAGTTTGCATAGAACTGTAGGTCATGTCGACACAAACAACTTCCAAATGCGCCCTGCAACCATGACTCTCTCCATCAGCAGATGGCTGAAACTCTACAGTGCCGTCTGCCAGCACCCTTCCAATTTAATTTGGTATGGTAGTTTTCTGAATTCGTTACTCCCTAGTATAGACAAACCCATTCTACTAGCCCAAAGCCTTTCCATCCCCATTATCAGCATCGATACCCTGGGTATCCTCACCAGTGGTACTCTCCACTGCCTCTCTCACTGAGATTGAGTACTATGCTATCCAGTCAACAGTACCCTTCTATTTCCTTTATGAAGTATACAGTGGATGCTCCCAGCTCACACCTTACTACCAATCTTCCCCTTATTTATCATAGCTTTACCCTCTCTGATTTAAACACTTAATTGAGCATCTACTAATTTCAGAAACACACTAGGAGCCAGAATGCAAATGAACCAAAGGGGATAACTGTGTAGCAGAAAATGTCAGCAGCAATGAAGTAGATAATTAAGTGAACAGGATGTACAAGGCAGGCTGGGAGCATCTTTATAAGCATGTTCTCTCAAAATACCCAGTTGCAACCAAAGTTTTTTAAAAATCACCCCTGTTTTATAAAAGAAGGGATGTAGGCTTGTTAAGGTCAGCCAGCTTGCCTAGTTTAACACAGTAGTTAACTGATGGCACAGGCCATATGGCACCAACTTCAGTCTCTAACAAGTTCCCAGAGTAGCTCCTGTGAGAGAAGATGTGTAGTAAGATCTCATGTAAATAAGGGGAGGCTATAAACTAGAGTCTAGAGATTAACAAAGAGAAGGTTTAGAATTAGCCATGCTTCAAGTCCCAGGCTAAATGTTGCCCATTTCCTAACTAGTATGCATTACTACCCTGGTTATATCAAATCTAGGTTGAGTAGAATGTCCTGAATAGGTTTGTTTGCTACTACAAAATTTAAGCGGGGTAGGAGGTGGGGGTGGAGTGGGGAAGGACTTTGTGAAATTATCACTTTACAAATGAATGTACCAACACAGTTTTGCTTGGGCTATTATTATTATTTTTTAATCAACCAGTACTCAAATTTTAAAAGTAAATTCTGAAGGCTCACAAGTGCAGTTAGTGTACACTGTACCTTTGTAGCTAGAGTTTTCCTGCCTGGCCCACAGTCAGGACAAATCTCTATCACCTGCCAGTCCCACAGCCGCTCAAACCCGACCAAGTAAACACAGAGACTTATATTGGTTACAAACTGTATGGCCATGGCAGGCTTCTTGCTAACTGTTCTTACAGCTTAAATTAATCCATTTCCATTAATCTATACCTTGCCACATGGCTCGTGGCTTACCGGCATCTTCACATGCCGTTTCTCATCATGGCGGCTGACAGTGTCTCTCTGACTCAGCCTTCCACTTCCCAGCTTTATTCTCCTCCTTGTCCCGCCTACACTTCCTGCCTAGCCAATGGCCAATCAGTGTTTTATTTATTGACTAATCAGCAACACATCTGCCATACAGAACATCCCACAGCATACCTTTATGGCTATTTTATATAATTTGGATTGACTTGCCAATGCCAGTTTTACTGCTTTAGTCTTTTATCTGTTAGGCTTTATCTTGCTTTACTTTACATTCGTAACTATTTTGATCAAATTTCAAACCTACTAGATGGTTTCAATGGACAATAAAGCCAACAGTCAGCCATGATACTACTAAGAGAAAGATGCTTTACTGTGTGATTTCCTAAGGATGTTCTATTATAACACCCAAATTCTTTCTGCTTGGTTTTCAAGTAGACCGCCAAGCCTGGAGTGATGCCTCAGTTTGTCTTACTCTAATGCATAGCAGCACACTGAGCTGCTGCTTTGTACACAATAGAAGTACAGTTGTTATTTACAACCCAGAATTTTTAAAAGAATTTATTTATTATTTATTTTTTAAAATTTTATTTATTTTACAATACAATTCAGTTCTACCTATCAGCCACGGATTCCTTTGTTCCCCCCTCCCGCCCCCGAATTTATTTATTTATATTTTGGGTGCACTGGGGTTTTGCCTGCATGTATGTCTGTGTAGGGGTTTTGGGTTCTCTGGAACTGGAGTTACAGACAGTTGTGAGTTGCCATGTAGGTGCTGGGAATTGAACCTGGGTCCTCTAGAAGAGCAGCCAATGCTTTCAGTTGCTGAGCCATCTCTTCAGGCCCCAGATTTCTTAACAAATTAAACCCCCTTGTTCTTTTACAGTTCCATACATGTATATTACGGTTACTCGCACCTCCACTACTGTCCTCCTATCAACCCCTCTGCTCCCGACAAGTCTCCCTTCCTCACATTCAGCTTTTTTTCTTTTTTGGGAGGTGGGGTTGGGTTGGGACTTGTTACATACTAGGGTTAACCAGGGCCACCTGTGTGACCA